ACCTTGTTTCAGCCTCAAAGATAAGCTTACAGAAGGTTATTCCATCAGGCTGGTTTCTAAATTTTTCTCTGTAATAAGAGCCATCCTTCCTGAGCTAAGACAAAAATGTGCGAGCTGGAGGCTAAAAAACTGTGAGCTAGCTCACACTAACTCAGCTTAGAGGGAACACTGGCTGATACAGAAGGTTATTCCATCAGGCTGGTTTCTAAATTTTTCTCTGTAATAAAGAAAACCGCTTTTCAGTCAGGGCTCAGTTTGAGCCTGTGGGACACAGAATTCTAAGCTGTACGGCTTCACGGTTTGGAACACTGGTATTTTGGTGGCAGCTTTGGCATGAACGTGGATATTGCTCATAACTAGCTGCTTCCCCCCCCCCAACAAAGCATCCTAAGCAAAGCAGCCACTCATGTATAACTCCTCTGGTGGTAAGGCAATTTTAAAAATAACTTGGGTGGAAACTTTGGACCCAGTTGTTTGTTTGTTTATACCAAGTTTTTCTCTCCAATGGGGACCCATAGAGGCTTACAACATCATTTCCCCCCCTCTTCCATTTTATCCTCACAGCAGCAGCCATGTGAGCATAGTGGGGAAGGATTTGAACCTGGGGCTTCCACATTCTAGTCTAACTATGACACCCCTCTGGCTGTCATCTGTTGAAACCTTACTTTGCTTCCAGGATTACAGTGAGATCAGGTGTGGGTTTTAAGCTTCCACACATTGTCCTCCACCATTTCTTTCATATGTCGGAGGCAGCGGGAGAACCAGTGCATGCATGTGCTGTCTATGTGCAAACTGCTGTCAAGTCGCAGCCAACTCTGTAGGTCTTTCAAGGCATGGGACTAACAGAGGCCCTGGTCACACAGGAGGTTTTGGCATGGAAGAGGGACGGGATTGGGGGCGCAGCAAACGGGCGCAATCAAACCACAACATCTGGGAAGTGGTGCGCACCCGTCCCTTATCCGTCCCTTCAGCCCAGTAACGCGGAGCAAAAAAGAACCTGCAAAAGGGAAGGACTTACCTGAAACGCCGCAGCAAGCGCAGCTGTCGGAGCGCCGGAGCGCCCGTCTTCAGGAGCATTGGAGGCTCCCAGCCAAACTGCGCATGCGCACACATGCGCAGCCGGCTGCCTCGCGCTCCCTTCCGTGGCT